ACTATACTACATGCTTAATACATATTAAGCAATAAATACAATGACAATAAATACATTCAAGGTTCAGTGAAGAATAATTAAGTTCTAAGATATATTACCATTTGAAAATAAAAATGAGACACTGTAGTGTTCAACCTAGGCCATAACTATAGTGTAGTGTTCAACCTAATGATAGGCCATAAAGACATAACTCACTAGAAGAGGGGAGCAGGACATCAACAAACACCAAACACTAAATGTCTGGTACCATATCTTAACTACTAATTTTTAGTTTTATATGCTGCAAAAAAATAAGTATTTGTTCACATTAGTGTCAATTCATAATTTTTTCATTGGTATAATTTATATATATCACTGTCCAAAGTTATTGGCCAACTATATAAGACTGTTTAATAGAGTAGTTATAATGTCTTCAAGGTTCTTTTTGTGTTATTTTAGAAGTTAAATTATTTCATGAAAAGAAAAGCTAGAAAAAAAGGAATTATCTAGCTAAAATTACCCATATTGCCATACGCTAAAAGAAATCTCAAGAGAAATAACTTGAGCATTACAACATACACCTGACATGGAAGGATGAGAAAGCTAAAAGAGTAACTAAGACAAAAATAAAGCGGTGTTGACAGCCTGCTCACAGAAATGCCTGGGCACTGTTTATGTGTGAGGAAAATGTTAGCAATCATTGGCAGATGAGGTTCTAAATAATTATACTATACAAGCAAGTCTATAATGAGTTTAGGGGCTTCAAAATACATGAGAAAATGGAGAAAGACAGACAATGTATATATTCATTTGGGAGAAAGAAATGCACATTAGGATATAGTGCTTATGGAAAACAGGATCAACATGTACATTTACACCAACTAATACTAAGCCAGGACAGATTAGCTCATTGTGCATACCTTTACTCTAACATGACAACTTATAATTGTGGCAAAAAGACTAAGGAGGTAATTGTTAAATCCTTGCACCAGTCTTTCACTAAGCATCAAGAGAGAGAATGTTTTCAGGTATTAAGAAAATAAGTGTGGGGCCAGGTGTGGTAGTTCACATTTGTAATCCCAGCACTAGGGAGGCTGAGGCAAGAAGATCAAAAGATTGAGGACAGTCTGGGCTACACAGTAAGCTCCAGCCAGTCTCATCCACATAGGGAGACCTTGTCTCAAAAAAACTCCACGAAATTATTTAAAGGTGTCAACGTAAAAAAAGAAAACCGGCACATTATTTAAGTTGAATGGCTAAAATAAACAGAACTAAAGATAATTGTGTGAAAAGCAGAACGAAGGAGAACCTGAAAAAATAATATCCTAAAAATAGCTTTTAAAAACATGTTAGAAAGTGGAAAAGATTATCATGGATTTTGTTCCCTTCTAATTATTGATGTCACATTTAGAATTTTTTTATTTTGTCATTATTACTATTTTTTTTAGCAGTAATGGAGTTTGAGCTCAGGGTTTCACGCTTGGCTAGGCAGGTGCTCTAACTGATTGAGCCACACTTCCAGCCCCACACTTAGACTAAACAAATATGAAGAGCATTCATCCCAGCTGTATATTTTCCTTTTATAGTGACATTTAATTAAATAAACACCTTATGTTTTAAAAGTAATATTTTTGATTCTTTAAGATGATGATTTTTTTTTTCCCCTGGTGGTAGTAAGGTTCAAACTCAGGACCCAAGGATTCACAAATGCTAAGCAAGTGATCTGCCATAAATACATCCCCAGCTAGGAGAATGAATGCTTACAATCTTGCTCAAACAAGTATAAATTAAAAAACCAAAACCAAGGACTGAGGATGTAGCTGAATGGTAAGACCCTAGGTTCGATTTCCATTCCTTTGAAAAAAAATTAAGATTAAAAAAAAAAAAGCTAAAACATGAAAGCAAAATGGATGGAACTGAAGAACATAATCTTAAGTGAAGTTAGCCAGGTTCAGAAAGTCAAAAGCTGCATGTTTTCTCTCATATGTGGAATATTGACCTAATACAAATACAGCAGTATTATGACAAACAGGTCATGCTAAGGGGAGGTCACATACCACAGGGGTAGGGTAAAAGAAGGAACTTAAGAAGAAGGTGCATATGGTTGATGTTCTTCCTATACAAGAATGAATGTAGAATTTTTAAACCTGTTGAAATCACCATAAGAAGGGGACTAAGGTAGAAGGAAGAAATATAGAGGAGATGAACCAATTTGGTTTATAATACATATATACATGGAAATGTCAAGAAACTCCCTGTACAACTATCTTTAACAACCAAAATGTCACTTTTTTCTTTCACAAAATTGGAGAATAGGCAGGCAGAACAGGTTCTGTCTTGGGGGTAACAGCGGGAGGGGGAAGGATGTGGAGAAAAGTTATAGGAGGGCGAATATAGTGCATATACTGTGTACACAAGTATGTAAATGGAAAAGTAAGACCTGTTGAAACTATTCCAGGAATGAGCAGAGGGAAGGACAAAGGAGAATGATGGAGGGGGTGAACTCAAATATATATTTGATACATTGTAAGAACTTTTATAAATGCCACAATGTACTGTTAGTACAACAATGAAAAAAAATGGCCAGAGATAACAGAATCTACTTAACATCACACTTCTCACAATGAGCCAAAGTCTTAAATCTGTTGAAAAAAGGAAAAATGTACTATTTTTATAAGAGGAATTTTATGAACAAACAAACATTCAATGGTTAGAACAAGATAAACATAGTTTTTAAAGATAAGCATACAGATCTCCCTTACTTTTTCTCAATACCCACTGTTCAAGTTGAAAAGGTGATTTTCAAGGAAAATGTCCCTCTGAATGAAAACAAATACAAGAAATATCTGTGCTATCTCCAAGAAATACTACTAAGTCTAAGGAGAAAAAATTTGTTGAAAATATTTCAGAGAAGTTTCCATAAATTTTGATACTTGGAAGAAACTTTGTTTGGCAGAAAAGATTAAACGATGTTGAAATATACATCATTTCTAAAAATCCAATTAAAAAATTTAAATGAATAACATTTACATAATATTAGAATACTCTCTCTCTTGAGTTAGAAATCTTTTTTGGAATTCAACCAACATAATGTCCAAAAGGCTTACTTTATGGAAACTTGGAAATGTAAAAGTGTTGTTATTAAAATAAATATTTTCAAGAAAAAGTGAAAAAGAAAACATGGAAATGACCACTAATTTACACATGGGCACAAAAGAACTACTTAATCTAAGAGAAACTTCATAAACTCATGAAAATATTTACTTCAGAAATTTCAAAATGAAAACATGTGCCCCAAAATATAAACAAATATTCTACATTCAAAATTAAAAAGTCTACTATTCATACAATAATTATACAAGGGATAATTATGCTGCTATTATATCACAATATTATTTATATATATTTATCTCTCTATATATGTATATATATATATATATATACATATATATGTGTATATATAGAGAGATATGTATATAATCACAGCTTTCAGGGAGAAAAATATCCTAGAAGTTTATAATTATGTGTTGTACATCTTGAATTGCATTATGCTATTTCAAAATTAAAAGAATATCCAGGCATTCTTAAAATGTCAAAATCTTCATCTAAGAAAGACAGCTGTATATACAGCACAAGAAATTAAACACTTTTAAGGAATTTAATTCCAAAATGACACTTTTATTTCTTGAAGAAAATGACCTCATAATGTTAAAATCAACCATTTAATTACCTGCACCCAAAATTGTTAGAAGTATATTACTTCTTGCCCAAGAATAAGAAAATCCAGTGATTACACTTACAGTCATTTTCTCCTAAAATAATGTCTCAACTCAAAACACAAAATGTAAATTAAGTTTAAATGAAAAAAAATTGTAGACTTACTGGTAGACATCCTATTTACTGAGGTACTTAAATGTATCTTATATTTCTTAAGAGACATCTTCCCAAAAACCTCATGGACAAAAAGCTCTGGAACCAGACTGTAAAACTTCAAACTCCTACTATGGCACTTACCAGCTGAACCCTTTTTTACACATACACCCAAGGATAACATTAACTACCTAACATGGTTGTCTGAGAGATCAAAAGAAGTTAGTATTTATAAAACACTTAAAGTGGGGACTCACACAGAGTAAATATTCTGTAGATATAAGTTACGAGTTTCATAGCCCTACACCGAGCACATGCTAGGTGTTCAATTAATACATGATAAATAGGTGACTGCCTTATAGGAAAAAAACTGTCATTTTTACCACAATCAAAATATATTTAAACCCAACTACAAAAATATTATCAAATTATTCAGGAAGTATTAAAGCACTATGCATTACTGAAATAATAGAAATAATACTATTTTATTCAGGTAAGAACCACAAGCTAGATGCTGGGGATACAGCAACAAAGATACAGTACTTGCCTCGCAGAAGCTTAAGCTAATAAGAAATGAAAGTAGTTTGCATAACTGAAAGGGAACTTGGAAATCTTCTAGTCCAAGTTCTTCATTTTTAAAATGAGGAACCTAAAGTCCAGAAAAGTTAAGTGCTTTGGCCAAAGCCATGGAGCTAGATAGTTAAGAGTCAAAACTAGAACTCAGGTCTTCTAATTCCCAGGTTAGTGATCTTACTATGCCACAATAACCAAAAGTACTCAATACGAAACAGATTAAGGTCCCCATCTCCCAGTAACTAAAGCTCTTCTAAATCACTTATTTATTGCATTAATGTATATCAAATCAAATACATTTCAAAGGAATTATGAAAAGCCCCAAAATAAAATCTATCAAGGTAACTTAATATAGCTTCAGACTAGCAAAAGGATTCCTTGCATTTACTGTGTTGTTGTATCAATTAATAGTCTGCTTTTAGTCTACCATGTTGCTTTCTTGGCCTCTATACTGCATTTCTCTTCTTACTTTTTCTCAGAAACAAAAAAAAGAAAACACAAAATCTACTGGTCTGCTAAAACTTAAACACTTAATTGTAAGAATTTTAAAGGAAAAACTATCATAGTATAACACTTACCTTAAATGTACCATTTTGATTTTTCATGTAAGAAACCAAAAATATATCCACTGGTAGAAGTGCTGATGTGATTAGTGCAATTGCTAGTGAAAAAATTGCTGTGATGGTGGAGACAACTTCACTTTCCCGCTGACTTTGGTATTTACGAACATATATCCAGCAAAATGCCAAAATAGCCTGAAACAGGACAGAAAGAAATGTATGTTACTATATCAAGTATTCTTTAATATGTGTTTGAAACTTTTCAGTGGGAAACTTTATGTCAGTGAAGGTTCTTTTACATGTACAAGGAAAACCACCCACAACTCCTTATAATCATGTTCAAGATTTAAGATTTTTCAAAGTCTATTTCATAAATTCAGTACAACCTCACTTAAGTGTCTGTGTGTGAACACACACAATTATGATCAGTTATACAAAGCCTCCCCAAACATAGTGTAACCACTGTAACCACAACCATGACACCCACTGCCATAATAGCTTTGAATCCTTTCCCCACTGTAGGTCTCTTCAACCTAAAGGATCTCTTGTTAGCTGGTCTATTTGTAGTTGAATACTGAAGGATTACCAAATGTAACTTGGAAATCAACTTCTGTCTTGTTATTGACAGTTCAAGAATACCACTCGGATAAAGATTAACTGCTCACAATCCCCATGCAATTATTATAATTCAAATTTTAAGGGGTATTAAATAAATAAAGTCAACAATGAAAATGGCTTCGTGGGTACAAGTTTTCCAGTGAAAAAGCCACACCCACAGGTGAAGGCTGTATAATCAACCAGGTACTCATAATAGTTACCAATGCCTTTCAAGTAACTGGAGCAGAGCAGAGGGATTCAATGATTCTCTAATCTAGAGAGCATCAGAATCATGATCAGGTCTTGTAAAAGAAGGTTGCTGCGCTCCACATCCAGAATTTCAGACTCAAGAGGTCTGGGGAGAGGCCTGAAAAATCAGCATTTGTGCTGGGTTCCCAGGTGCAGCTGCTACTGGTCCAGAAACTGTATTTTGAAAACCTCTACTCTACTCAATTATAGATGACTATAGACAGATATTAAATCAGTGGTTCTCAGTCTTTGACTGAGCGTTAGAACTACATGTGTGTTTTTAAATTTTTTCATGCCTCTTCTACTCTACATAACATCAATCAGTGAGGCTCCTCTAGGCAAAGTAACGTAAATGCCAGGTTTCCAATCTAAGCTAAATCTAGAAACCATTGTTCTAAATAAGGTCTGTGAGTGCTCATGGATAAACACCTTGTTTTGCCCCTTTACTCCCAAGATTCATGTTACTTTCTTATTGGGCATCCCAGTTTAAAGCCAAATAGAAGTAATAAAACCATCCAATTAGTTTTGCAGCTTTCAAATTCTACCATAATCAAGACATAAGAACAGTTCCACCACTCTAAAAAATTTCCCTCTGTCCTCTTGCAGTTAACATTTCTCTTCACCCCAGCCCTCACAGCTACTGCCTGCTATGCATCCCCTATAGTTTCTCTCTTCCCTAGAATGTCATTTTGTACTTAGTATTTTTTGCTTGACAGTTTGTGTCTGGCTTCTTTCACTTGGTATGATGCATCTGAAATCCATCCAAGTTGTTGTGTGTCATCCCTTCATACTGCTGTCATTTCAACTAGTGACAGACAGCAGAGAAAACGTGGGAGGAGAATTAAGGCTTTAGAATCTGGATGCTGAAACAAAACAAAACCAAAGCTAAAATTCTGGTTTAACTATTTACTAACTATTTGAATTGAGAAACAGTTATTTTTCACAAAATGTTATATATATGAACATTTAATAAATTCATTTTAAAATGAATTCTTAAGTATTTTTAATGATTCCTAAAATTTATATTAAATTCATTGGAAGCTGCGCCTTTTTATCCTTAGCAGTACTTTATACAAAGTATTCCATACTTTTGCTAGATTTTTTTAAATGGAATATCTGTACTTTTACAAAGTTAAAAGTGATAGGTATTATCACAAAGGAATGTCAACCAGATACGCAAAAACAGGGCAACCAGGCAAAATAGTTAAGCCAGAAGTTCTGACTTTGTGGTTTCAGAATCTCTTTAGAGTTTTAAAGACCGTTTGTTTATGTAGATTCTATAGTAGCTAACAAAAGAAACTGAATGATAAATAAGCCAAGAGTCCTCATCTATAAAATGAGAATAAGAACTTTCATAGCAATTATTAGGATTAAATGAGATGTAGAGTTTCACACAGTGCCTGGCCTTACTTGTAATCATTATTAAATGTCATGTAAAATAGCACCCTAGAGCAATTTTATGTTTTTAAAGAAGTTAATATATAACTTTTAACAACTGAGAAAAGATTTTAAAATAGTTCCTCAACCCCTCCAAGAGATTCTGATTGAATTGGTCTGGGCATTAGGATTTTAAAAACTCACTAGAATGTTTTAACAAGTGGCCAAGGTTGAGAAACAATGGGGAAGAAAGAACAACCATAAAAACTGTTTAAACCAGTAAGCTTACACACTTCCTGGGATCTTGTAAACTGCAAACCCTGATTCAGTGGTGTTGGGGCTGTGTTATATTTCGTATTTCTAACAAGTTCCTAGCAGATGTTCACACTTTAAGGAAAAAAGTAAATTTGCTTTACAGAAATGAAGTTTGTCTCTGTGGTAATGGAAAGTGCAATTGAAAGGTAGCATAAGCCAAATTATTGAGGTTGTTGGGAGCTAAGTAGAAGAGATTAGATTTTATATAGTAAGCAGAGATTACAGCACAAGAAATCAAATCTAATCATTTTATGTGGGAGAAGAAACTAACACCATTCTGTTTGTGGAAGATCACAAAAGCAGGAACATGCTGTTCTGATTCTTTAGAGGATGAATGGCAGCAGTTCTCAAGGTGGGATGTCCTTAGGCCCTTGCTGTCCTCAGAACTCTTTCTGCATATTCAGAAATTAAAAACTATTCTCATAATAATGATAAGAATTAAGTCTTTTTCTTTTTTTTTCACTGTTGACATTTACCCTCACAGTTTGTGGTGGGTAAAACTGCTGGTGCATTATCATGAATCAAGACGATGGTACCAAACTATGCCAGTAGTCATTTCATTCTTCACACACTCAAAAAACAAAAAAGACAATTTAAGACTGAGCATGATGAAACAGTAAAAATTAATTTTAACTCTAACCCATGAATGTTTAAAACATTCTGTGGGATAAAATATGAAGCATGCATAAAGTTCTAACATGGGGGCTTGGCTGTCACCTGTAAAACACCTTGACGCTTTGGTTGGGTTGAAAGGCAAACCAGCCACTCTCTTCGAGCAACACCATTTTTACTTGAAAGAACAATTGGTGCTTAGCAGACTTTTTTTCAGATAAAAAAGAAAACTATCACTTCAAGGAAAACAGCCAATATTTGTTAGGAGTGATAAAATTCCCACATTAGAATTTGGGAAAATTTATAACCACTACTGTGAGCTTGACAATTTTCCAATACTTAGAAATTTTAGAGCATTTCTGGTAACATCAGTGATTTAATGTACATGGTATTTTGATATTATATAATGAAATGTATCCATATTTGACATAAGTACATTAACTCAGTTAACCAGTATTTTCTAAATGGTCAACATGGCATGTTATAAAACCATGCAAGAATAAAAGACCCATTCAAAGTGCAAGTTGGACTAATGGATTTTAAAGTAATAAAGGACAGGTTCACTGATATTGTGTTTAGATTCCACATTGCAACCAGCCTTTAAGAAGCTCCCACTTGAGCTTTGGCATCTAGGAAAGAACTCCCACAACTCTCAAATACTCTACTTCTTCCAGCTGCACACCAGGGAAACCGGGTTTTCTTCATACACTTCAACTAGAATAATTTATCTCCAAAGACTGAATGAAAAAGCAGACCTGAAAAATCCACCTCTCTTCTAATAAACCAGAAAATAAAGAAATTCGTGCAAATTTAAATAGCACTTACTAATTTTTTCCACTTCAACAGCCAAGTTTCTATGTCCTTAGCTCTCATTTTATCTGTTCCTGCTGTAATTTTACCAACTAAAAGGACTTTTCTTCTTCAACTGTCCAAAGTCTACTTTTCTAAAACATTATTCTCTATTCTCAGAAATTCTATTTCATTTATAAAATCATATTTTAGCTTTCAGTGTCATCAGGTCTTCTTAAAAGCCCTGTATTGTTTTATTTGTATCCTCCTGCAGCGTACAGCAAAAGTGCTGTACTTTAAATGCTTATTCATTAATCACTGCCAGGATAGCCCAACTAAACTTTAATATTGGTACATGCTTGTTTGTTTTCTTCTAAATAAACTGAATCTGATGGACTGGAAAAGACAGCGAATTCTCCAAGTCCAGCACTGGGATGGCTCTGGAGACCACAGCCAACCTCCAGGGTTTCCAGCTCCCCCATGGGAGGAGTAAAGCATGTTCCAGTGGAAAGAAATTGATGCAGATAGCAAGAGAAGCCCTTCCTTAAATTTTCAATTATTTATTTATTTATTTAGAGCCTCTGATGAAAAACTTTACTAGCAGAACATACTGCATAGGTATCAGGCACTATAGAAAGTCTGATAAACTAAAATTAAGTCTGATTTCCAGAACCGAGGATTTTTTTGTTTTTAATTAATTTTACAATGCAAGTTAAAATACATTGGAACACTAAGTAACAACAGGACGGGATGAAGACAATGAGAGAAACAAACTGGAACAAATTGGATCATTTTAATTTGAGCTAGGGAAATAGCCAGGCAACCATAGACCATGAAGTTCACGTTTTGCGTACTGAGTAATCAGAAGTAAGATGATTGAAAAAGAAGGCACCTGAGGTCAGACAGGTCGTCGCATCCCCTGACACTGGTCTTAGAGAGCTACCCTCGGCCCTAAACGAGCTGGACACCGAGCAAGAAAAGACTGGAAAGGAACGTGACACCTGGAAATCAGAATGAGCAACTCGCGTCATGGGGGAGGTACCGCACAATGGGACAGAAGGTTGGAGACCCCACTAATCCCAGGGACGGGGAACATCGAAAGAGGCATTCAGAAAACCAGACGAGTCAACAAGGCAGCGCCCACTAAACCCGCCAAGACCCGGCGCGGCCGCCGCCCGCCGCCAGCCAGCGCCCCTGTCTCACTAGGGATCAAAGGCGGGGCACCCCACCCTCCTCTACCCCGAGGGTCTCCTCCGCCCCCAACCCACCGCCCCAGTCCTCAAGCACCGGGTCAGAGTTGCGAAGAGAAATGTGCACACTAGACGTCCTCAGGGTAAAAGAAGCAAAAGACGCCCGGAACCCACGCCCTCCCCAACCCTCAGCGCACAGGAGCCCCCACCATCCAGCTCAAGGCGGGGCGGGGCGAGGGGGTCTCCAGGACCCGGAGAGGCTAGCAGCTGGCCGGCCCCTCCCTTCTCCCACGAGTACGAACACCGGGAAAACTCCAAGCGCCTCCCCTACCAGAAGTAAGAGGCCGAATATGCACCAGCCGATCACTAGCTCAGCTGAAGCCGCACCAGCAGCCGCCACCGCCGCCGCCATCTTCGCTTCCGGTCCCGACGGGCCTCAGCGAAGGGGACAGGGAAGGGGGAGGGGGGAAAAGGGCGAGAGCTAGGGACACGGAACCCGCGCACCCTAAAGGTTAAAGGGGCGGAGGGGGCGGAGCAAGTGGTTGCCAGGGAGACCCGACCCATGAGCGTCCCCTGGCGACCAGCTGGGCGGGAGGGGGACGGGAAGAACGGCCTGGGGGCGGAGCACGCAAGGAACGTGGTGACGTCACCACACCGTCGGCTGGGTTCGCAAGGAGGGCTTGTCTCACAGCAAAGAGGGCTTTTTGGCGTTTTTGACCCGGTCTAGGCTGGTAAACTGGAAAAGCCACGGAATTCTACAAAGGATAGATTTGGTGGCTGTGAAGAGCCAAACGAGTTTTAGACGTTCCCACTTCTCTCCGAAAACGAAGTTTGTTCTAGTTTAGTGTGAAGCAGAATGGATGGCTTGATTAGGAGTGCTCCTCCCAGAATGCGGAAATGCGTTCCCCAGCTAAAAGCTAACCAACTCCCCAGATGACATTCTTGTTTGCTGACACTGGTGCCCAGGTCGGGTACCTGCTTGGCTAGACTCTGGTTTATCACGTGATGTTATGGCTTTCCGTTTAGAATTTCCGCCATGGTTTGATACACTGAAGATATCTGACTTGTGGACATATTCATAATGAAATTGTAGGCTCTTGCAATATTCTCAAGTGAATGAATTGACACTGCCATCATAGGTTCCTAGTGCACCTGAGGGAGAGAATTCCTGGGCTGGCTTGTCTGGGTCCACTGGTGTATTCGCGCATATTTGACCTCTGAATTGAACAAGCATAGCCTGCTATGTCGCCAAAACTCAGGTTTATGGACGAGTAAATACCACCATCTCTTTACAGTTTATTAGGTGATGATAGTACACTTACCCTCACTACTGGCTAGAAGCCTGCTGTAGTTAAGGGGTAGGGTGGCTGTACTCCCAGGACAGTTTTAATGTGAGCTGATACTGTCATAAACTGGCCTCAAGCTGTCTGGATCTGTAAATGTTTGAACTTGGCTCTCCTATTCACTTATCTGGAGACCTCATATACTTTCCATAAAGCAAGTAGAGACACCTCTATTCCAGGTAGTCACTTAGAATTCTTCCATCAGCCCCAATGCAAGCTGTGGTTTACTTTTCCCACTCCCTACTATGTTATTTTAATCCTCTCCTAGGATCCCTCTTGGTTAGAGAAGTGTAAGACCACCCCAAGTCAATTCTCCCCATCCCCCCCCCCACAGTAACCCAAATCCCTCTTTGGGAACGATCATACATATATTGCACAATAACTTTTGGAGCACAGGCCAATTCCAGTGTACCTGCATTCTCCTAGTTCTACTGCTAAAGAAACCAGTCCTTCCTGTGCATCTCCACAGGAGTCAGTCCTGCTCCACAGGGAATTGTAGTTCTTTCATGCCCAAGTCAGATACCAGCCCTACTATATCTCAATTTGAGGACCACTTTTCAAATTCTCTTAAGTTCCCTTGATGCCTCCTGCATTAGTCAACTTTCTGTTACTAAGAAAAAATACCTGAGATAACGTATAAAGAGGAAAAGAATATTTTGCTTTGTTTCACAGGTTTCAGTCCAATGTCCCTTGGCCCTGCTACTTTGGTCTGTTACTGCACAGTGCATCATGGCCGGATGGTTCACCTCATAGCAAGTAGGAAGCAAAGAAAGAGGATCCCCTTCATAGGGATGTCCTCAGTGTCATAACTTCCTTCCATTAGGCCCACCACCTAAAGGTTCTACCACCTCCCAATAGCACTGAAACCAGAATTTGGGACCCCAGGTCCAAACTCCTGGGCTTCCACATGCCAGGTCCTTCTACTCGTCCCTAAACACCAAATAAAGAGAGATAGTGAAGGGTGAAGAAAGGAGATTTATTACACAGCTTGGGACACGCTGTGAGAAAAGTTAAAGTAAGCACTCAGCACATTTCTGGGTAAAGACATGAACTATAGGTTTAAATAGACAAAGAACTGGGGGAAGGGGGATACATATGCATAAACAGTCCCAGTTACAGGTGTGTTCTAGTTGCCCATGATCTCAGTCCTTATTCTTCAAGGCTTCTGAAGAAGTTGTTATCACTTTCATCACTTGAGGGGAGAAATCTGGTGGTCATTAGATGATTTCTCCCGCTCCAAAGTGCAGCCTCATCATTGTAGGTCATTGTACTCATTTGGAGGGGTGGTCTGTCCTTCAAGGGTCCGCTATTATTTAGGTGAAGTTTTAGTCCCTTGTTATAAAGATGTTATTGATCAATCATGTCTTTCCTTGATTCCAAGGCTGCTTCAAGAAAGAATGGCTCAGAGCAAAGGACAACAGGTACAAAATGGAGACAAAGACACAAGCTTTTCTCCTGTTTTTAGTTAATTTGTGAGTCTGAGTAAGGAGTCAGTGCTTTTTAACAAAAGCTGTTTAAACATCTCTTACTGTGCCACAGACTGCAACCAAGCCTCAACTTGTGTGCATCCCTTACTAGACAAGGGTTAGAGAGAAACATCTCAACCCAACCCTCCTCCACAACACTTACCATTTCTTAGGGTTAGGAGTAGGTTCCACAGATCGCATTAAAGATATCACTTCATCAAATTCTCCCCTTCTAATCCATAGCATTAATTCTTGCACACCTTTTTAATTCTGCACATAAAATAGAATTCATGGTTAAAAGACTATAAAGAACTAAAGGCCATAATCTCCCCCATTCCTTTAAGTTATATATGAAAATGGAGCTTTTTTTTAGAACTGAATCTAACTTTTTTGTTTTCATTATTGGCAATCCTGGGATTTGATATCAGGCACTAGAACTTACTAGTCAAGTGCTCTACCACTGAGTCACACCCCTAGCACTTTCTGTTTTATGGATTTTTTTCAGATGGGGTCTCACTTGTTTTGGTTCAAGTTCAGCCTGGACTGTGATCTTCCTACCTATGCTTTGCACAGTAGTCTGTACCACCACGCCCAGCTTGTTTGTTGAGATGTTTGTCTCACTAACTTTTTTGCCCAAGCTGGACTTGAACCATGATCCTCCTGACCTCCCCCTCCCAAGTAGATGGGATTACAGGCATGAGGCACCTCACCCAGCTGGGTCTAACATTCAACAGTATGCATAGCAACCCTTTGTCCATGCTTCAGTCTAGTAAGAATGAACAGTAAGCCCACATTATTCACAGATTTATGACATGAAGTTCTGAACAAGCACAGTCAAAAATAACAATTTTTAAAGACCAAAAATATTTTCAAAAACAAAAGTTTTAAATTCTCACACAGACATTCCATAGCTCAGTTGATGGAATTGAGAAGCTCTCCGTCAATCCCACATTGTCACTGGTTATGTTTAAATTGTGTGATCTGCTGAGAGTTTCCCTGCCCTTAATTTTGTGAAAATGTGCATCGCCAAAGCAAATGGTACCCAAAAGCAAGGTCAAAGTGAATGTGCTTAATTTAACTGAGAAAGTGAAATTTTAGATTTGTTGGAAGCCAGCATGCCTTTACTGGAAGTTAGGCAGCATGATGGGAAAAATGAATTAAGCATCTGCAGTACAGCCCTGATCTCTATGAATCCTGAGCACCCATGGTTTTTCCTCAGCCAAATGCCAGCAGACACCAAGGGTCTACTGTACTGTTCATTTACATATAAAGCAGACCAACAAGAACTGAACACATTCTGCTGAATGATATTCTTGAATATAAATCCTGAGCACCCATGGTTTTTCCTCAGCCAAATGCCAGCAGACACCAAGGGTCTACTGTACTGTTCATTTACATATAAAGCAGACCAACAAGAACTGAACACATTCTGCTGAATGATATTCTTGAATATAAGAAGGCTTAAAATTGGGCCAGAATTCCTTTACAATGATGTCTTTTTGTTTATAATTACAAAGAAGGTACATGCTCATTTATAAATATTCCAAATATAAAAAATTCAGATGCAGAAAAGGTCCTTATAAATTCATACACTTCTCACCCTAAGATACTTCCCTTTAAGAACTCTTGGGAGTTTTTTTCTTTATTCTTTTTTTTTTTTTTTTTTTTTACTGCTCTGATGGGTGGGAATACATTGTGGCATTTACAGAGGTTCATTCTTACAATGTATCAAATATATCATACTTGAATTCACGCCCTCCACTGCTCTCTGCTATCCCCCCATTACTGGAAGAGTTTTAACAGGTTATCATTTTCGCATTTACATATTCACCCTCCTACTCCTTTTCCCTTCCACCTCCCCCCTCCCACTAGTACCACACCCCCTCACACACCAGCAGGACCTGTTCCAGCCTCCTGTTCTCTGATTTTGTAGAAGAATAAAAGGAAAAAATGACATTTTGAAATAAAAGTAGCTACACAGGGAGTTTACTTGTGATATTTCCATGTACATATGTATTATATCCCAAATTGGTTCATCTCTATTTTTCTTCATTCTACCTTAGTCCCTTTCTTGTGGTGATTTCAGCCAGTTTAAAAATTCTGTATTCATTCTTGCATAGAAAGTACATCAACCACATTCACCTTCTTAACTTCCTTCTTTTACCCTACCCTTCTCACATGTGACCTCCCCTTAGTCTGACCTGTTTCTCATAATATTGCTGTATTTATACCAGATCTATGTTCCATGAGAGAAAACATACGGCTTTTGACCTTCTGAATCAGGCTAACTTCACTCAAGATGATGTTCTCCAGTTCCATCCATTTGCCTGCAAATGACAAAATTTTATTCTTCTTTTGTGGCTGAGTAAAATTCCATTCTGTATAAATACATTTTCTTAATCCATCAGTAGTGAGGCATCTTGGCTGTTTCCATAGCTTAGCTATTATGAATAGTGCTGCAATAAACATGGGTGTGCTGGTGCCTTTGTTGTAACTTGACTCACATTCCTTCAGGTATGTCCCTAGGAGTGGACCCTGTCAATTTTGAGATGCAAACATCAAAGATAGTAAAATGTAAATGAAAACAAAGTAGATCTTGTGTC